ATCCTTTGTCTCCTGGGGAAAGCCACACATTCCAAAGATGGGGATTTTTGGAGGAGGAGGAGGCATTGGGCTAGGCCAGGCCCCCTACTGCGTGGACTAGACACCCTACTTCTTTCTGTTCTCCCTCTGTGAAATCAGGGCTTGCCCCGGTCAGATTCCAGGGCTGCCAGAGAGATGAGCTCTGCAGTGCTGTGTGAACTAAGCTGTTGTCCATGTTGTGAGGGGCCATTGTGAGCATGCTAAGGAGGCAGCAAGAGCAAAGACTAACAGTAGTGGGCGGACAGCTCAGTTTAGTGTGCCATGCTTGCTTCTGAGTTCAGATCATTTTCACAAACCCCGGAAGTAGTATGTAAGTTCCTTGGCTTACAAATGAGGTAACCAAGGCACAGAGTAGTTAGTTGTACAAGAATATGCAGCTCCTAGATGATGAGGCTTGATTTAATATGAAGCCACCTGGTTATAGCCTGCATGTGTAAGAAATTCCTTAATGTAGGACTCTGGGCCCTTGCTTGGACTTGGGCACCTGGTTCGAGTTCTCTGGAATTATTACATTTACAATATATGTACATGTATGCATTGTAGAAGTTAGAATTATTTTTATTGTGTATTTGAGTGTATGGGAGTGTCAATGGGGGCTAGAAGAGAGTGTTGGATTCCCAGGAACTGGAGTTACAGGATGTTGTGAGCAACCTAACATGGGTAGAGAGAACTGAATTCAGGTCTTCTGGAAGACCTTTTAATTGCTGGACCATCTCGCCTTTATTTAAAGAACATTTTTTTGCTTTCACAGTAAGATTGGTAGGAAAGTAGTGTTCCCTGCTGTACACAATCTCCCTCATTATCGATGACCCCACCGGAGTAGTGCATGTTACAGCTGATGAGCCTGTGCAGAGCCCTGGTTTAAAGTGTACACTTTTTTTATATTTGAAAAATGCCAGATTCTCACCAGGGCCCTTGGCCTTTAGATGCCTGAGACCATGAACTGCATTAATAACAAGCAGGAAGGCTGTTAATGGCATAGAGGCCAGTGACACACACTGGAGCTCACCACCTCCCCTTTTGTAGGGCCAGATGGATGGATGATGTGGGCAGGGACCATAAGGGCAAACTCCATTCTCCAGCTTTGTGTTCCTGTTGGCATGGTGTGGGGTCAGGCCTGGCCGTGGCTGTGGCTGTAGCTAGTTCCTATCACTGGTGAGATGCTGGTCCCTCTAGCCTTCCTGGCTCTGCCAGGATACCTGGTCTTTCTTACTCTGCCCACTAGAACTGCAGGGAGTCCTGGAAAGCATCACACACTTCGTTGTCTCCAGGTTGCTGCACATGCCATTCTGTCTTCCATTCTTGGCTAGTCCTTCTTGCTCTTGGCTGTTTAAGTTTCACTAGCCCCAGGAAGCTGTCCTCTACCCTCCCAGTCTGTCTGTAGAGGTTAAATGCCACTAACTTCTTTGAGATACCCTGTTTCTTTCCTACCAGCCACACTTTTACTCCCTGACATCACAGATGTCTGCTTTGGCTTAGGCAGTCTCTTTCCCAGCTGTACATAGTGTAGAATGGAAGAGACAGAAGAACCCAAGCTTCCTCTAACAGACAGGAAGCCTGGAGAGGGACAAGGTATACGCTCAGGGTCATAGTGCATCATAGCACAGGTGGGACCAACTCCTCATTTCATGACAGAAACGCAGCCATGAAAATCACCAGAGATGCCAGTGTTAACATGGTGTGTGTGTGTTACTGATTTCTGTCGTGTACATATAAATACTTAGCAGAAACAAGAGCATCCATACAGATTATTTCAATAGTATATGTGGCAAGGTCTGGGGTGGTAGCTCAGCCAGTGAAGTATTTGCCTTGTAAGCATGGGTGTCTGAGTTTCCTCTTAACTATATATAGGGGGGGGGGGAAAGGGGATGTTTGTAATCCCAGAACTAGGGAGATGGAAGCAAGCATATCCCTGGGGTTCACTGGCCAGGCAGCATAGACTGTGTGGTGAGTTCCAGCCCAGTGAGAGACCTTTATCTCAGAAAAAAGATACAGTATCTGAAGAATGATACCTGAGACCCTCAGGCTTTTACACACACACACACACACACACACACACACACACACACACACACACACACTAACTATACATCCTTACCCCTGTGGCAGATGTCTGTCGGTCTGTCAATATTCTTTATGTGCTAAGGTTGTCTAGGATCCTCTTATCACATTAGGGCTTCTTGTTTGTTTGTTTTTGAGGCAGGGCCTAGCTGTGTAGCCCTGGCTGGCTTGAACTCACTCCATACAGAAGGTTAGTCTCAAACTTGGAGTGGTCAACCTGCCACATCCTCTTGGGTGCTAAGACTGCATGTGCCACCATGCTTGGCTTGTGTTATGATTTCTAGAGAATACCCCAGTATTGGGCACTTGCCATCATAAGTTACACTGAGATTTGGATTCTTATCGAGATATAGAGAAATCTTTTTTTTTTTTTTTTTAAATATTTGTTTAGCTAGGCAGTGATAGCTCACACCTTTAATCCCAGCATTGGGAGGCAGAGGCAGGCAGATCTCTGTGAGTTCAGGGCCAGCCTGGTCCAGAGAGTGAATGAGTCCCAGGGCATCCAAGGTTACACAGAGAAACTCAGTCTTGAAAAACAAAAACAAAACAAAAAAAAAAAAAAAAAAAAAAATCCATTCTGGGGGCTAGAGAGATGGCTCAGTAGTTAGGAACACTGACTGCTCTTCCAGAGGACCTGGGTTCAATTCCCAGCTCACAACTGTCTGTAACTCCAGTTCTTGAGGATTCAACACCCTCACACAGTCATACAGGCAGGCAAAACACCAATGCACATAAAATAAAAATAGATTAATTTAAAACTTTGTTCTGTTTGTATTATGGTGTGTATGGATGATAATGTGTGGGAATGTAGGCTTGTGCATGCCAGAGCATGTTTGTGGAGGTCAGAGAACAACTTCAGGAGTTGGTTCTCATCTTCCACCTTTCTTTTTCCTGGTTGTTGCTGTTGCTTTGCTGCATACTCTAGGCTAGTTGGCACACAGCTTCTTGGAGCTCTTGCTATCTCAGCCTCCTCTCTTACTGTAGGAGTGCTGCGATCACAGATGCATGCTGCTGCACCTGAATCTTGTGTGAGGGCCATCAGGCTAGCTTATCAAGCACTTTGATCCACTGAGCCATTTCCCTTGCCCTTTCATATGATTTTTAAGCGTGTATACAAAATGATGGGGTTCGTTACAACATTTTCATACATTTGTTTCATTATATTTTATTCTTTAAAAACTTATACATGAATTTTAATTTTTAAATTTCTTTATTACGCATATGAGTGATTTTCCTGTATGTATGTCTTTGTACCATGTGTGTACCTGGTGCCACAGAGAGGCCAGAAGAGGGCATTAGATCCCTGGAACTGGAGTTACAGATGTTGTGAGCTGCCATGTGGGTGCTGAAAATAGGACCCTGGTTCTGTGGTAGGGTATCCAGTGCTCTTCACCATCAAGTCATCTATCTCTCCAGCTCTTTTGCTTTAGTTTTATTTGCCCCTCCCTTTCCTTCCCACGTTCCCCACCCCATCTTGCATCTCCCATGGGGAAATCTTTACATGCTTCTGCAGTGATTACATTCAGGCTGAATTCCTACAAGTATAGCTCTTGCAGTCTATCACATGGCCCCATGCTGAACACATCAGAGTCTCTGGCCTAGAAGGAGATTAGCGATCTTTACCCATAAGGCCAACCCCCAGATTCCCAGTTCCCCATCTGGTGCCTCAGCCCAGTCTGTCTCACTTCCATTATTGCCAGCCCACATGGAGAGCTTTCTAATTTGCAGGGTGCCCTGTGGGAAGGTACTTCTTGGTTTGATGGTTTTCATTCATGTACTGGGGGCTAGAGGGTGGTGTCCAGGGCTGCTATGGGAACATGGGGATTGGAGTCTTTGCACTGCATGTGTGGTCTCTGCTTACTCTTTCCAGAGAGAGATGGGTGTTCTGGCTTTGGCCTTCTGGTGGGGCTCATGCTGGGGAAAAAGTTAGACTCTAGAGGTCTGTCTGTTTGGGTGGATAAGGCCCAGTGTAGAGGAAGTCCTTACCTGTCCCATTGGTTCGCAGGCAGGTGTTTTTGGTCACCTAGTATCCAAGGTTGCCAAGCATGTACCTGAGGAAGAGAGATTCCTGGTTGCATCTGGAGAAATGCTTACCACACCTGTTTCTGAGTGTCCTTGTGTCAGGCCCCTTAGACACATTTGTTGCACCAATCCTCACCACAGCCCAGTGTGGAAGGAACCTCACAGCGTGAATTCACTGATGCTTCAGCCATAGTGACTTCCTATAGGCTTTTGTACACTGCTGTGGGTTGGATTCCTGCTCTGGCTGCTTCTGTTAGTGACTAGGGTTGCTGGGGTCACTCAGGAAAAGCTGGCAGAATGAAAAGCAGAAGGTAGGAAGCAGGAGGGGAGTGGACAAAAGGATGTGCATTTGGTCCTGATGCAGGTCCTTTTCCTCGCAGGTTTTGCAACTGTTCAGTGTCACATTTTGCTTCTGAAAAAAATTTTTTATGTATACTGTGAATATGCCTGGTGCTTGTGGAGCTTCATTCAGATAGTGATGAGCCTCCATGGAGGTGGTGGGAGCTAAATCTGGGTCCTCTGCAAGTACAGCCAGCACTTTTAACCTGAGTACTGAGGCCACTCTGAGCCATCTGTCCAGCCCTGCTTCTGGATTTTTCTTGGTCTAATAATAATGATTGGTGGATGCTTCATTAAGTATACCCCTAGTGATTTCTATACATTGTTGGCCTTCATTTTCCAGTTCCTTATGATATGGCCTCCTTTGTTGTTTGCTTCCTTTCCCACATGGGGAGACTGAGGTTCATAGAGATAAATGAGTGTAAGGTTGGGTGGCGGTTCTGGTTCTTGAACATGTGTTCGCCTTGCCTGAACCGGTGTTTCTATGGTCGACTGGCCCTGAAAGCTCTACTCCTCTGACTGTCTGCTTTTCTCCCTAGCTTCCCAGCCATCACCCTGTGCACCCAACTGGAGAAAGTGAGCAAGATCAAGCAGGCAGCGGTATGCGGCACCCCCTGGCTGGCCCATTGTCATCAGAGCTGCTGTTGACCACCCCCTGGAGGCCCTGACGCCCTGGGGCACTTCTGCTCTGCACAGGACCACGTTGGGGTTTGCCATGGTGACATAAAGGGGTATAGAAGAAGGAAGGAGCAAGACCAGCCTATAGACTGTGCCCCTGGCTGGGGAAAGGGCCAGGGGCCCGGATCCTTCTTTCCACTGCCATCTGAACTTGAACGTCTTACTTCCTAAGTTTCTGAATTTCTCAGTCAGTGGACAATTCTTGGGCCTCCTGTGTGAGGCCTTAAGGGGGCCAGGCCAGGCTGGGCCTCTGCTAGTTGAGATCTTGGGGGCCAGGATGCCTGCCCTGGCATGCCTCCGGAGGCTGTGTCGGCACATGTCCCCACAGGCTGTCCTTTTCCTGCTGTTCGTCTTCTGCCTATTCAGCGTCTTTGTCTCTGCCTACTACCTATATGGTTGGAACCGGGGCCTTGAGCCCTCAGCAGATGCCTCTGAGTCTGACTGTGGGGACCCACCACCTGTGGCTCCCAGCCGTCTCCTGCCGATTAAGCCTGTGCAGGCAGTTGCCCCTTCCCGAACAGACCCACTGGTGCTCGTATTTGTGGAGAGCCTCTATTCACAGCTGGGCCAGGAGGTGGTGGCAATCCTGGAATCCAGCCGCTTCAAGTACCGAACAGAGATTGCACCAGGAAAGGGGGACATGCCTACACTCACCGACAAGGGCCGTGGCCGCTTTGCCCTCATCATTTATGAGAACATCCTCAAGTATGTCAACCTGGATGCCTGGAACCGGGAGCTGCTGGACAAGTACTGTGTGGCCTATGGTGTGGGCATCATCGGCTTCTTCAAGGTATTCAGGGAGCAGGTGTCTGAGCCGTTCCAGCACTGTCTCTATACTTGTTAGTCAAGCACCTGCCAATTCACTCTACAAAAACGAGTGCAGTGGTAGCACTGAGCTCCTGGGCTTGTCATGAAGGTTAAATGGGTTCCTGCTTCTGCTAATGAATGCTTAATAAGTATTTGGAGGCATTGTCTACAGCACACAGGACACAATGCACAGTAGGCGCTTGCCTGAGGGAGACTTGGGGCTGGGCACAAGGTAGGAAAGGACAAAGTCTACTAGGGACTCTAAACCGTGCCATGGCAGTCACCTCAGGATGAACAAGTGCAGGGACAAGCGGGTTGTCACTCACCTGAGGCAGTTTCTTCCTCCTGGGAGTTGGATAGTGGGAGGGTGAAATCTGTGTTTCTTCCAAACAAGAGTCATTTTGCACGAGGAAAGAAAGAAATCCCAGTATGCAGGTGGGAAGCTACTCTGGGCTTTGTGGAGTTCCCAGAACCACCCTTGGGATGGGGGTTGTCATGGAAGGTCAGCCCTTGAGGAGGGGGTGGGAACAATAGATATAGGTCATGAAAGATGAATGTAGGCACCTCTGGAGAACATTTGTTTACTGGATGTTTCCAGTGTCCTGGGCCCTGTGCTAAGTACCAGTGCATAGAGTAATGGAAATGGACAAGTCCCTGTTCTCCCAGAGCTGACATTTTAATGTACTAGGGATGGAGTGGGCAACTGGAAGCACAGAGGCTGTGGCATGTGTGATAAATCTACAATGAAGGGCAGCAGAGAAGGGGGACAGTGCTGCATTCTGTGGCCAGCCAGGAAGGTTGTTCCCTCTCAAGAGGCCTGAAGGGGCTGGGAAGGGCATAGGCTATTGCACAGTGTGAGTACCTAGAGCAAGGAGTAGGGTCAGGTAGAAGGTGCCCATGCCCCAAGCCTCTGTGCACATTGTTCCTCTGTCCGGTGCTGGGAGGGCTGCTTTAGCCCAGGCTTCCCACAGCATGCTCTTTCATGCACTAATACAGCAGGAGGCTCTGACTGAAAAGGGATAGTGAGTCAAACACCAAAGGCCCTCAGGATCCCTGCAGTGGGGCGGCCCAGTATGATTTGTTTCCCAGCCAGCTTGATCTCTTTCACAGAGCACCCTCTGGGGAACACTGGCCTGGTTTATGGCTTCACAGAAGCACAAAGTTAGGCTGGCTCCATTGTCCCTGACTTTTTTCTTTTCTCCTGTACTCTGTCCCCTCTCCTGCCATGCACTTCATTAAGGTTGATTCAGAGCCCCGGGCCTGAGAAGCATCAGAACAGCTGATGTTTATTGAGAGCTCCTTCAATGCCATTGCTGCCTGCCTGCTTCACACAAATTAAGTCACTGTGCACTAATAAGCCGTGTTCCAAGGCAGGCAGAGGTTATGGTGATTTAAGAGAGGGGGAACTGAGGCAGAGAGAGGTTAAGAAACGTATCCAGTGCCAGGTGGTGGTGGCTCATGCCTTTAATCCCAGCACTCGAGAGGCAGGAACAGGTGGATCTCTGAGTTTGAGGTCAGCCTGATCACAAAATGAGTTCCAGGACAGCCAGGGCTACACAGAGAAGCTCTTTCTTGGGGGGGGGGGGGGACAGACAAAACTACAATACAACAAAAAGAAATGTATCCAAGCTCATGCCCCTACCAAGATTCAAGTTCAGAAATCCCCAAGCCACAGGCTTGGTCTTTCTAAGGTTTATGAGTCTAGGAGCTGACTACTTAGTGCAAGTCTGTCAGAAGCCCTGTGTTGTGTACTAGACTCCTCTAGGCCTGGGGCTTGGACATTGAGCACAGTTAAAACAACAGGGTTCAGACCCTGTATATCCCAACCGCTCGCATATGGGGAACATGAGGCTCATCAAAGATTGGGGTCAGTGCTCATAGTCTCTCCTGGGTCAGTGGCAAAGACAGCTTGCCCTGTGCTGTTGTGTTAAGTCAAGACTCCTGGATTCTGACTTGAGGCTTGTGACTTGGGTTGGAACACACGCCCCCTGGTGGTTGAGGCACACCACTGCTCTTCTGCAGAGGCTGGCTTCTGTGCTGTGTCTCAGACTTGTCAGACTCAAGTGGCTGTGCTAGGGCTCAAGTTCCACCTCTTTCAGAGGCCAGCTTCTCAAGGCAGGGTGAAACCACAAGCTTAAAAGTCCAGACTCTGAGTCAAAACTTTATGAAACATAGAAGCAATGTGACCTTGGCCAGGATGCTCAACTAGTGAGATTAGTTACAGCTCCTGCCTCTAGACCATGATAGAAGTAAGACAGTTGAAGGAAGCACCAAGGACAAGGCCAGCACCTGGAGTCACTCACTCCATCAGAGCCATCTGGGTGGCATGTCTACTCCAAGTGCAGTAAACACCGCAGTTGCACTTAGTCTGTGGCTGGGACACTGTGCCCCCAGAAGTCCTTGAGGTGGGGGTCAGGCCCTCACCTGTGCCTTCCTAACACTGACACATGTCAGCCTTACAAGCAGATGGTCTGCATCTGAATGCCCCGAGGGCTGGTGAAGGCCACCTGGCCTTTCAGTGCCCAGCATGTTGCTTTGCATGTTGTCACAGAGAGTAGGCACTTTGTTTTCAGATAACGTGACTCAAAAATTAAGTGGCTTTATCAGAGTGACATCATTAGTATGCCACCCAGCCAAGAGTCGACAACCCAGCTTATTGCTTCTAACTGGATGACCTCAGAAGACTTGGTAGGAACAAACTGACTAGAGATCCAGAGGAAGGATGTAGGGTTTCTCAGGGCGACTTGTCTATGCTAGGCCTTCACATCCTACTCCTCGCCCAGGCTCTTCCTATGTCAGGGTGACCCCTGTTCCCTTAGTGCTGAGGTGTGGGAAGAAGGACTGTGTGACAGAGCCAGTGTCTCCAGTCCTAGGCCCTCTGTTCCCTTCCCTGGCTGCCTTTTGTGACTATCATGGCCTGACTTCTTCCTCAGAGGCGCTGTGTCTAGACAAGCCACCAGCACCTCACAGCAAACTCAGAGCCAGGACTTTGAAATGGGTTCCCTGAGGACCAGTGTCTGCCGTGGGCCCCCAGGCCTCAGCACAGGTAGACAGGCCTGATGTGTCTTGGGTCCCCTCATAGATCACACTCTGAGCCAGTGCTGACTGAGGGTGGTGGGGGGCTGGAAGCCTGAGGAGGGTGTCTCTGAGTCTGGGTCTTAGTCTCTTGTCCCTCATCCCTGAGGATGGACACTTGGCAGGCACTCCCTGCATTCAGAGATCCAAAATGGTTCCTTATCACAGTTTACAAAGCCAGGCCCCTGCAGAGGCTTTGGGAATGAGAAAAGGCTGGACTGTTAAGATTAGTGAACAGCTTTCTGTGGGCAGGCTCAGCTCTGCACCTGGTTGGCACAAGGCTCAGACTAAAACCTTCCATCTGCTCTCTGTTCAGCTTGTGCCCAGGCGTGGTGCTTACCCGGGCAGCCCCACATGGGTCACAGGTGTCCTGTAGGTGAGCCTCCTTCCTTCTCCAGATGCAAACTGGAACCTGTGACCACATTCAGAATCCTTGGGTAGAGTCTTTGACAGCTCCAGGGACCTGTGGGTCTGGGCCCCCAGTGGCCCTCCTGCCTCTTGTCCTTTCTTGATCACTCTTTGGCTCCTTGCTATTTCTTGGTCATGTTGTGGTTTCTCCTGCCTCAGGGCCTTTTTACTGGCTATTCTTAGGACCTGACCTCTACCTCCTCCTAGTTGATCACTCATTCTGTAACCAGCTCTAAAGGCCCTTTCTCCAGGGGCCTCCTGAGGTAGCTGACTGCCCAGCAGGGGCTGGTCTGCAGCTGTGACCTTTCCCTGTAGATATACCATGTTTTATTCTTATGTGGTTTTGATGGCTGTCCCTCCTTCCTGCTTGACTCAAAGGGGAGAGAATCACATCTGCTTTTCTCACTTTACAGTTTCCTGTCTGTATTTTTTCCTCACTATATCTCATTAAATACTTATTATAATATCTGGTACAGTAAGTAGCTGTAGACTGATAAATTAACCCTGGAACCCACAGCTATCAGGTGCTAGGTATCGACAACTGTCTGTTCCTCTTTCAGTCTTAAAAATAGTTACTCATCAAATGAATGTGAGTCCCTGCTGGGTGTCAGGGATCCAAACTAAGAAATATAGTCTTGTTTTCAAGTAGGCACAGGCTGGTAGGAGGGAACCTCTGAACCCAGTGCAGCAGCTGAGGCTTTGCCATGATCCCAGGAAGACCATTGCAAGAGGCAGGTATATATGTTCAGTTTTGAAGGACGAGCAGGAGTTTACTAGTCCCAGAGGAAATGATAGATAGAACCAGTACAGGAACAAGGACAAATGTACTGACTAGAGTCAGATGTCTGGAAGGGTGAGGGAGAGCATGAAGGAGTGGTGAGATCAGGGAAGAGGAAATGGAGTCCACGGGATGGGGGCAGCTGCAAGTCCGAGGAGGAGGAGATCGTATCACTATCAGTGGTAGCCAGTGGGCAAGAGAGCTGCCTTTCTGTGTGGGAGAGCAGTGTGTGTGTGTGTGTGTTTGTCTATGTGTGTGCATATATGTGTGTCTTTGTCTATGTGGATCTGTGTCTGTATTTGTGTGTCTGTGTGCACACATGTGTTGTGTGTGTTGTCTGTGTCTCTGTGTGTGTATTCAGTGAGGGATATGGTAGTTCTTGTGAAGTTGTAAATAATGTTGACATCACTGTTTTCAACTATGCCTGACAGTTCTTCTCCTACCCCACACTGCTGTAGGCCAATGAGAACAGTCTGCTGAGTGCACAGCTCAAAGGCTTCCCTCTTTTCCTGCATTCGAACCTGGGCCTAAAGGACTGCAGCATCAACCCCAAGTCCCCACTGCTCTATGTGACACGGCCCAGTGAGGTGGAGAAGGGTGTACTGCCTGGCGAGGACTGGACTGTGTTCCAGTCCAACCACTCTACCTATGAACCAGTACTGCTGGCCAAGACGCGCTCCTCCGAGTCCATCCCACACCTCGGTGCAGATGCTGGCCTGCATGCTGCACTGCATGCTACTGTGGTTCAGGACCTGGGCCTCCATGATGGCATCCAACGTGTGCTGTTTGGCAACAACCTCAACTTTTGGCTGCATAAGCTTGTCTTCGTGGATGCTGTGGCCTTCCTCACAGGGAAGCGCCTTTCACTGCCTTTGGACCGATACATCCTGGTGGATATCGATGACATTTTTGTGGGCAAGGAGGGCACACGCATGAAGGTGGAGGATGTGAAGGTAAGTAGTCTTGGAATACCTCATCGGGCCACACCCCCATCTGTGCCTCTTGTGCTGTTTTTTGTAAACCCATTGGGTCCCCCACGTCAACCATTTGCTTTCTAACTCTGTGCAAGAGGTGTCTAGTGTTAAATATGGAGAGATTTTGCATGCGTATTTTGGAGTTCAGGAGGAAGAGACCCAGGCAGAAACAACAATTAAAAAAAAAAAAAAAAAAAAAAAAAAAAAAGATCCGGCCAGGGTTGTAATCTGCCTTTTAACACAGGTGTGATTTTAACTCTTCAAAAACATTCGTAGTTATCAGAGCTTCCACAAGATTCTTCAGGGTAAGGTCCCAAGTCACATGCACAGTATGTGGATAGTGGGATGCTGATGTTGCATTCTGAAGCCATTTACCAAATTGTTTGTGGAAGCTCCTTGCAAACACAGGGTTGCATACATGTGTGAGCTGTCAAGAAGGAAGTGTACCAGAGGACAGTCTTTAAGATACTGTTGTCCTTTAGTCATTGATCTTACTGGACAGAGGAGACAGCATGCTAGCGAAAGGGCATAGGTGTGGGTTGCCACCACAGAGGACAAACATAACAATAAAGCAGATGGAGACAAAGCAGGGGATTAAGTCCCTGGAGCTGCTGTCTGCTGACTGGGTGTCCTCTCTCAGGAGATTAACAGGGCTAGAGATGAATTAGCACCAGACACAGCCGCTTTGATGCTGCAAGAAGCTTTAGGCAGTGTGGCAGGCACTCTCCCTGAGTAGTGCAGACCCACTGTTATCTTCCTGAACTTGAAATCTCTGGCAGGGCTGGCCCAAGGTCTAGAAGGAAGGTTCCTCTGGGGTTGTGGGCTTGTCCTGGTGAGAAATGAATTGTGCCAAGAGGAGCTTAGTGGGTGGTGACTCGGACTAGGTGACTTGGGGAAGTCTCATCGCATCACTGAGCTTCAAGTAAGGGAGAGGTCTAGGGAGGGGCTCAGGCTGTTTGCTACACTAGGCTTACACCATGGTGCCTGGTTGAGGCGGGGCATGTCAGCTCCTCCCTCTCCTATTTGCCACAGCAAGCAGACCTAAGCAGTGTTGATCTGCTTTTATACACAATGCTAACCACTGACACTTCTCAAGTGTTCTGTTGAAGATAAAGCTCACTCTAGTTGAGCCTTCCTGCCATCATCTTCATGCAGTGCCATGACCAACCCCAGCAGAGCAGATGACCCTTTTGCTTGCTTAGCACACACTTCTAGTGGCCCAGGCTTCTATCCATTGCATGAGCAAGGGAATGCCTCAGAGACTGTGGCTACCAGGCTTACCATGGCTTCTGTGAGCCATTGATCCAGAATTGCATACTGTAGCCCAGGCTAGTCTGGACTTCATTAGCCTCAGCATCCTGAATACTCTGCCTAGCTTTTAGCACCCCGCCCCACACACACCCCTTCTTTTTCTTTTGGATGCAGTCTCATGTAGCCCAGGTTGGCCTTGAACTCTTGATCCTCCATCCTTCTTGAATGCTGGGATTATGGACATGTGTTACCAGGCCTGACTCTTTCCCCCATTTCTGAGGAAGAGGCAGTGCCACAGCAAAGAGTTATGCTTGTAGAAAACAAGACCCCTGTCTTCCATGCACCTGCCTTGGGGCAGACGACAAGTGCTTCTTTGGCAGGTACTTCCTCTATAAGATCCTTTCGAGTCAGAAAGGCAAAGCAGTTTCCGCTTTAGTAGTGAGCCTAGCTGTCAACTGGCTATCCTTCAGAACCATCACTGTCACCTCATTAGCTTGTGTCATTCTGGCCATACAGTGCCGTTTCTGTAGTTCCAAGAGAATTTGCATTTCTGGTGTTTGACAAATGCTAGGCTCTGTGCTCAAGTGTCTATGTGTGTTACCTCTCTGGGTCTTCATAGCAGCTGGTGAAGAGGTATGAGTTCCCTTTTATAGAGATGGCCACTGTGGCTCAGAGAGATGGAACAGCTTGCCTCAGGCGGCATGGCTGGATCATGTGTCTGTCAGACAGTGATCAGACTTGGTTAGACCCTGAGGTAACAGTCCTGCCTGGAAGTGGGCTCCCAGAGATTTCCTCAATGCCCTGTGAGCTGTGCAGTCCTAACCCAGATGTCAGCCCCTTCCATGGACTGCCATGGGTGCTAGATGTGTCCACATAGGACACTGGCACACAGCACAGTTTGTCCTGGGAAGGGTCAGGATCCTTTGATGTAGACTTGCATTCTCCCCGGCAAGGAGACATTGTGCTCTTTGTGTCGGTGACGGCAGACACGACTGTAGCTCTCACTCTTCCTCACTCTTCTATCACAAGTCATGCAGTTTTACAGACCGAAGGAATCTCACTTGTCGGAAGAGCCCCATGAGGACAGAGATCTGGTCCCCCTTTGCAGTGAAGGCCCAGAGAAATTCTACAGCTCCTCAGGCATGCATTGCTGAGCTGGGCTGGAGCTCAGGGCTTTTCAAGCCAGATAGCATCTGGTATAGGAGGTGGCAGGGGGCTGGCTTCTTAGTTGTACAGCCTGGGCTGCCCCATGGAGCTCCTGCTGAGATGATTCCTTGTGGCTGAGCCCTGCTGTCATCTGTTTGATGTTCCTAGCATTGGAGCAAGGGCCAGACATTTGCATCTTGGAGGGCTGTGCTGGAGATGGAACCACAGCCTCAGGTGTGAGGCAGATGCTCCATCACAGAGAGACATTGCCAGCCCTGTGTTGGGGCCTGTGAGTTTTGTAGCTGGTTCTGTTGTAACTGGATACCCCTCAGATGCTCAGTGGGAGGAGTCAGACCTGAACCCCTCCCTCACTGCTGCCTCTCCTCTGCCTGTCCTAGGCCCTGTTTGATACACAGAATGAACTTCGAACACACATCCCAAACTTCACCTTCAACCTGGGCTACTCAGGGAAATTCTTCCACACAGGTATGTGATGGTTTACTCCTGCCCTCTGCACAACCTTCTCCCAGCCTGCCCCCCCCAAATTGCTATTATGAGGGCACCAGATATCCTGGGTGGGGGGGCTCCAGAGTTCATGGTCCACAGGGGACATCCCAGCAGAGGGCATTTGGGCACAATATTATAACAGCAACAAGGTTTCCATATACATGGCAGCCTGTGAGGTCCTAGGTTATATATCTTCTTTCTCCTGTCTCCTCCTCACTCTTACCTTTCACAATGATTTCCACTTACAATCCCAGCACTCTGGAGGCAGAGACAGGCGGATATTTGTGAGTTTGAGGCCAGCCTGGTATACAAAGTAAGTTCTAAGACAGCCAGGGCTGTTAACACAGAGAAACCCTGCCCCAAACAACTATAACAAAGAGAACAAACAAACAAACAAAACAAAAAGAAAGAAAAGCTTTTATTACATTTTTATTTGCTATTTATATACATGTGTTTGTGTTCACATTGCTATAACATGTGGAGGTCAGAGGACAACTTGGGTGTTGGTTTTCTCCTACTATGTGGATCCTGGGGATTGAACTCAGGTTGCGAGGCTTGGCCATTTTATTGCTGAAATGGTACTGCTGAGCTATTTCAGTAGCCAGAAGTGGGCCGAGTTTAAGAATGTTATGGAAGTGCATAGCATAGAAAGTGAAAGCAGGAATGAGTCCCTCTCCACCATGCCCACCAATATCCTGTGTGACAGGGTTGAGGTTGAGGGTTCTTCCAGGTTCCTCACATGCTGGGCAAATGAAAGGGAACTGATTCAGGTCTACAGTCCTCAGTGAAGATGCCTTCTGGAGTTCTAGGCAGGGCCACCGTAGTCAGCAATAGGTTGAAGATGAAAATGTGCAAGATGGCTCAAAGGTACCTGAGAGCGCTACTGCATTTTGTGTCCTTAGCAGATCAGAGGTGGCTGTAGTTGTACCTCTGAGACAAAGGTTTAAGCCTTCTGTATCCACCCAGAACTTCTGCAGACTAGTGGGCAAAAGGGCATGTGCTCAGTTTGGGTCATTGGAATAGGATGAGAGTAAGCATGTGAGAGATACAGGAAACACTTGGGGTTGTTGACTTCAAACACCAAGAACCCACAGAGGATATGGTGTGACCAAGCCACTTACAGAGGCAAGGGCAGATCAGACTAGACTGTGTCTCCTGTACCCAAGCTCAGCTGACTCTTCCACAGAGCTCCTAGGTGGCCCATGACTGAGTATTCCCTCTGTAGTCTGCGGCCAGGTTGGAGGGCTATGCCTGCCAGCTGTGCTGGACACTCTCTGTGTCACTGCCGTAGGCACTGATGCTGAGGATGCTGGGGATGATCTGCTGCTGTCCTACGTGAAAGAGTTCTGGTGGTTCCCCCACATGTGGAGCCACATGCAGCCCCACCTGTTCCACAACGAGTCTGTGCTGGCTGAGCAGATGGCCCTGAACAAGAAGTTCGCTGTCGTGAGTAAGATTCCCTATGGGACAGAACTGGGGGGAGCAGGGGCTGGGCTGGGGTTCACTGGCCTCCCAGTGCTGTTGTAGTCAGTGAGATAGATCTGTTTCTGTGCCAGGGCCTGGGGTGAGCTGCCTCGATAACCACTGTCTCCTGGACATCTCAGGAGGGCAGTCCCTCTTTATAGATAAGAAACTAAAACTCACTGGGCCTGGTGGTACATGGCAGGAATTCTAGCCATTGGGAGGCAGAGGCAGGACAATCACTTGTGGTCAGCCTGGGCTACATGAATGAGATCCTGTCTCAAAACAACAGAAAACAAAAACCTGAATAAAAGAAGCTGAGACTCAGGAGGTCACCCGAGGCCAATTCATTTCCTGGGCCCAGACTTCTGCCTTTAGGTAGGGTGGGATCTCTGGAGAGTTGGCAGAGGTACTTGGGAAAAGAGAGATGCACAAAAGACCAGCTTAGACACACTGGCCGCCAGGAGACAGCAGAGCATGAGTCCTGAGCTAAGTGCCAGGCGTATGTACTGAAGGAGGGTCAGGACACTCAAGCCTACATTTCTGCCAGTCACTCTCTTTGACATTCTGAGTCCCTCCCTTTCTGTTCCAGGCCTCAGTTTCCCCATCTGCACTACGGGCTCAGACCACATGCCCTGCCATTCTAGCCTTTGGTTTTGTCTTGTGTTCTATAAAAGAAAAACAAGGTCAACAGGGAAAGACCCCATTCTCATCTTCCTGGGTCACCCTCTCCCTAGGAGCACGGCATTCCCACAGACATGGGGTATGCAGTGGCGCCCCACCACTCCGGTGTCTACCCTGTGCATGTGCAGCTGTACGAGGCCTGGAAGCAGGTGTGGAACATCCGTGTGACCAGCACAGAAGAGTATCCCCATCTGAAGCCTGCTCGCTACCGCCGCGGCTTCATCCACAATGGCATCATGGCAAGTGGTTGGAGGGGCACGATGGGCATTGTCGTTACGGGGCCGCACACTGTGCTGGGAGGCATGGCTGCAGCTAGGGGCTTGACTTAGGGGTTTGGGGCAAGTTTCTGCTGCTGTTCTGCCTTGGAGGCTCCATCATAGGAAGGGCAGATTGCTGTCCTACTTAGCATCTGTGACAGGATCAAGGAACCCTCCCTCCCTCCCTCCCTCCCTCCCTCCCTCCCTCCCTTCCTTCCTTCCTTCCTCTGTGTCTCTCTCTTTCCCCCTTCCTGCCTCCCCTTGTTCCTCTCCCTTCCTCCTTCCCTCCCTTTATTTATTTTGAGACAGGGTCTCATAGCCCAGGCTGGCCCTGGGATTCATGTTAACTCTGGGCATGAGGTAGTTATAAGACATGCTCATTCCCTGTTCTTAGAGCCTGATTTCCAGAAGGAAGACAGACAACATGCAGTTACATCAGTTCATGATGATTAGTATTAGCGGAGGCTCTGACATTGCCTTCAGTGTCCTGTTAGAGGATCAGAGACCCTCACTACAAATGGTACAAGTTTCTAGAAACTCCCATGCTGCTTTTGGATCTGATTATTTTGTGTAAGAAGGGCAGTGGTTCACCTGGGGATTATTGCAGGCTGCAGAGCCTTGGGAAGGACCCAGGAGTGAGGGTTACGTGGCCTCATAGGGACGCGTCTTTCTGAGGAGGCTCTACCCTTCTGAGGAAGCATCCTTCCTTTCTGGACCATGACTGGAGATACCATGGTCCCTCTACTACTCCCTCTCAGGTCCTCCCTCGGCAGACCTGTGGCCTCTTCACACACACCATCTTCTACAATGAATACCCTGGAGGTTCCAGTGAGCTGGACAAGATCATCAATGGCGGCGAGCTCTTTCTCACTGTGCTCCTCAATCCCGTGAGTGCTCTGCAGCCTAGGGCTGGTACAAGGAGGGGTGCCAACAGCCTGTCTGTAACCTAGGAGGCTTCTTGAGCTGGGGGAGAGTGGGCAAGTTGGCATGGGGGACTGGGAACTGGAAGGTCCACTGTCCATTTGTGGCACTGGGCTCTTCTGTGTGACCCAGACAAAAGCATTGGTGTTTTCTCTTTTGTAATTTTGCACTTCTATGTAGAAATGCTAGCACTTTTTGTTTGTGTTGTCTTTCTATTCTCTGTATGTGTATACGTGCACACACCCTCTCTCCCCCCTTACACACCACACACCACACGTTTCACTTGAACCTCTCTTTTCTTATTTGTAAGGTGGAACCAATTATTCTTCATTGTAAAATGAGCAATGTGTGTGTTATTCTCAGCCTTGTGGACTGCCTATTCCTCATATTCTGTGTACACTCCCTGTCCTGATTTATAAAACAATGCAAATAACTCCTGCCCAGGCCGGCTTCCTACCCTAGACCTGTAATGTCAGTTAGGCCTGGGTTTTCCTTGGCTGAACACAGCTCAAGGTCACACTGTTCATAGTTCCAGTGTACCTTGCCCTGGGTATCAGTGACTAGTCACAGGTGGGGTTAAGAGTGACTCAGAAGCTGACCCAGCCTCACCTCCCTCTTCCTTCCCTGGAACAGATCAGCATCTTCATGACACACTTGTCCAACTATGGAAATGACCGTCTGGGGCTATACACCTTTAAGCACCTGGTGCGCTTTCTGCACTCTTGGACCAACCTGAGGCTGCAAACGCTGCCCCCCGTGCAGCTGGCCCAGAAGTACTTCCAGATCTTCTCTGAGGAGAAGGACCCACTGTGGCAGGTGAGCAGAGTGGCAAGGTGCCTTGCTAGAGCAGCATGCCTTCTGTCCTTGGGCATGTGCTCCAGGCATGTGCTCTAGGCTCAGCCATCACACTTCACACTCCCTCAGCAGTGTGAGCACACTCCTGGACATGCATAGGTGCAATATATGTATACACTGCCTGTGCCCCATCCTTACCCATAAACCTGTGTGCATGCACACTCATACACAGCCTTGGAAAAGAGCCTTTAGGAACAGTGGGTAAGGTCTGGAGCGATGGCTCAGTGGTAAGAGCACTGGCTGCTCTTCCACAGGACCCAGGCCAGTTCTCAGTGCCCACATGGCAGCTCACAAATGTCTGTGGTTCCAGTTCCAGGGGACCCAGCACCCTTAGACAGACATACATGCTGGCAAAACACCAATGCACATTAACAAAAAACGATAAGCAAACAAACAAACAAACAAACAAACAAAAAAAGCCCCCGAAAACCAAAAAACTTGGGGTAAGACTAGTGTGGGCAAAGTATAGAGAGTGTCTGCCCTGCCTAGTGGCCACTCATGCCATCTTCTTCAACTGCAGCAGGCTCTCAGCTACAAGTAAAGGGGCTGAGGGAAAGTTTAGGGTGGTCCTAGGGAAAATCTATACCTCAACTGCTAAAAGCTGGAGGCAGAAGCTAGACTCAGGCCAGGGTTCCCAACATTTACTCCTGGGCCAAGTCTGGCTTGTGGTCTGTCTGCATAAAGAAAGTTTTGCTGGCGCCCAGTCACGCTTCTTGTGTGTCTGTCTGTGCCACCTTTGTGCTACTGCAGCAGAGACCAGAGAGAGCTGTCAGCCTACAGTGTTTACTGAACATTTCCCACAGGGAGTTTGCTGAACCCTGGATTCAGGCATAGCAAATGCAGTTAAAGTCAACAAGTGCTTGTGAGTTCCTGGTAGTGATGAGCACATAGCTGGCCATTTTCCAGGCTTGATGGGATTGCAACACTAGCCAGTAATGGTCCCTCCCTGTCTGTTACAGACTGGTGTTGGGAGGTGAGGATACAGCAAGAGCTGGGCATGGTGGCATGTGCCTTGAGCTCAGCACTTGGGAGGCAGTGTCAGATAGATCTGTGAGTTTGAGGCCAGCCTAGTTTACACAGTGACTTTCAGGCCAGCTAGGGTTACTTAGTGAGACCCTGGTTTCAGACAGAGACACAGCCACACGTGGAGGGAGTTCATTCGTGGGTCTCAGGCCTCCCTCATATCCTCTCCATTGCTGTTTTAGGATCCTTGTGAGGACAAGCGCCACAAAGACATCTGGTCTAAGGAGAAGACATGTGACCGCTTCCCAAAGCTTCTCATCATTGGCCCCCAGAAAACAGGCAGGTCTCTTGACCCTTGACCCAGCTTCCCCCACTGCCTGTTATCTCAGCCACAGAATTCTGGGGACCATCTTGATCAGGTCTCAGTCTTAAATATTCAATCTCCTTTTACCAGAAGTGGGAGCAACATGGGGACACTTATGAATTGCCTGTCATTGTGGGGGTGGAGAGCACAGGGAGATGTGGCATTTATTTTGAACCCACAGCTTCAGAGAACACCCCCCAACACCCTTCTAGGAGCCTCTGAGACAAAGCAGGAAAGATGTCTAGAGCATCTACTTTGCAAATTTGAGCAGTGCCTGGCAAAACTGGGTCAGCACAGAGAGGGCTGATCAATTAGTCATGTCTGTCAGAAAGACACACTGGCACGATTGCTAAGCATTTGCCATCTACTCAGGTCTGTGAGGGCAGGGGGATGTTTCTTTTTTATGGACAAGCACGGGGGTGCAGAAGTTAAGTGACTCTTGGCATCAGAGTTGGGAAACGATAGTTGGGTCTGTGACCCTGAAGCTTCGCAGTCACCAAACTTCAGAGTCTCTCCTTGGATGTGCTGTCACAGAGAGCACCTGGAGAATGAACAAAGGGTCCTCTCAAAGAGGAGGAAGGGGACATGATGGGGAGGCACCAGCAAGAAGAGCTAGCGGGCTTGGGCTTCCTGGCTTCTGGGGAGTTTCATACTGGCTAGGCATCTTGCCACATGCCTGTAAATCCCGCTCTCTGGAAGCTGAGGCAGCCAGACCATGAGTGTGAGGTAGCCTGTGTTACATATCAGGACCCTGTCAAAGAGTAAAGCAAGCACGCAGTAAAAAGAAATGAAGGGACCCAAGAGTTCCCCAGGAACAGACCTGGAGGGTTGGAGCTTCCTTGTCCCTGGGCTCTTCCCAGGTTCCCATGTGGACAGAGGCCCAGAGCTGGAAAAGGCAAGCTGAAAGTGCCTAGTTCTGAGACTCTGAGTAGGCAGCAGGTACCTGGGCTGGGAGCCTCTGAGGTCAAGTCCTTGTTTAGTGATGAAGAATGCTATAATAGATGCATGGTATCTATCTGGAAGGGTCACAGGGACCAATGACTGGGACCAGTGATCGTGTATAGACCTTACAGTCTGCATTTAGCGTATCTTTTATTATACTCTTGAGGGAACTGAGACTCCAGAAGGGAAGGGATTTTCTCAGGCCCTCCCAGTGACTAGGGAAGACAGGCCCAGAATGTGCTCTTGTCTTGTGGTTGGGGGCTGGGCTGAGGTCTCAGCTGCCGCCACTCTCATAGGCACCACGGCCCTCTACCTGTTCCTGGGCATGCACCCGGACCTCAGCAGCAACTACCCCAGCTCCGAGACCTTTGAGGAGATCCAGTTTTTTAATGGCCACAACTATCACAAAGGCATCGACTGGTAAGTGGCCTTCTGTCTCCAGCAGGACAGGAAGGCCATCATGGAGCCAGCTGGAGTGGCCATTGTGGCCACAGCAGGAAGCAGCTGGTGCTTGCTCACACGCAGCTAAAAGTCCTGTAAACATGGACAAGGCTCAGTGACCGTTGAGTCATGTTGCAACAGTGTTGTGACAAACAGGACACTAGATGAGGAAGCCCTTTGCTCAGGGTCAGAGCTAGCTGGACTGGGCATCCAGCCCCTCCCTGAGTGCACAGAACATAGAGTCCTCAAGCAGGGAGGTTGTCCCCATCCAACAAGTCAGTTATTGACAGTAGGGTGTCCTGTGCCTATGGCCAACTATAGGAAGAGGGGTTCCTTGGGTGTCTAGGAGCTCTCTGGGGGCAATAGAATCACACTCCCACCAGAACTTTCCCAAGAGGGCACCATGTAGAGGGCTAACATGGGCTTCTGTTACCCTCCAGTTTTCCCATTGTGTCTTTCCTGCCTTTGTAAGGCTCATGTGAGCATGTTCACATTATGTATTATTAATTAGTGGGTTCCCTGGGTACAGAGATTATGGGCCCCTGTGTTTGTCCTTTGATATTTTTTTTTCACACTGTTTTCTTTGATTTGCCATATATCATCTCTCCATGTTTTTCCATCTTTCAGTATATTTTTAACAAGTGTATTCTCTTACTTAAAATCCCTTGTGGCCAGATATCTTAGTGCCATCCCATGTGCTTGGGATTTTAGAAAGGAAATGTGTGGCAATATACCCCATTCTGCCTGGGCTACAGGGCACCCCACCACTCACATGTGGATGGAGGGTAGCTGTGGGGATACTTTTACCAGGACGGTTAAGGAGTTGGGTGCTGGATACTACAAGCTTAGGAAAAAAGGTATTACAGATGGAGAAAGTTAGTCTAACACTGTTAGACTGACTTCTTAGCCCCATTCCCAAGACTTTGGTTTTTCTGGAATGCGGTATGACAGTCTAAGAGGTCCTAGGGGATTCTGTTTAAAAGTCCTTGGAACTACTGAAGAAATATGTACTTTGAATTAGGGTGTATTTTCTTTTCTTTTCAGTATCTCCATGAAGGTCTGTTCTGTTTGGGTAGGAAGTTGTGCTCATCCACAGCAATCTATGGGTATAGAGAGGGGTATAAGTGGCAAAGGGTGACTGAAAAGCACTATCCCAGGCCCAGAGGTGGCAGAGGACATCATCTCCTTGGACTTGTCCTTCCTGAATGGGAGTCACTCTGAGCCTTGCTTATCCCCAGAGACATAGAGGTCAGGGCCAGCAAGTCATCTGTGGAGATGCACAGTCCCCTCCTCAGGCCCCACAACCCACAGCACATGCTTAAGAATCTCCAGGCATTTGATTCTGTGATGCCCACCAGAAAAGAAATGAATTTGGAGTAGGAGACTGCCAAGTGGCAGTTCTTCCCAAGCCCCCATCAGAGACAGTCCTTGCTGGTTGGGTCATTGTGCCTTGCTTTGTTTTTTGAGGAAATTCTACCTTAGGGACCCCTGCTCTATCACACTGGGGCACCTGACTTATGAGATTTGGCCTTGAGCCCTGCTTCTGGGCTTCCTACAGGTACATGGAGTTCTTCCCTATTCCCTCCAACACCACCTCTGACTTCTACTTTGAGAAAAGTGCCAACTACTTTGATTCAGAAGTGGCACCACGACGGGCAGCTACCCTGTTGCCCAAGGCCAAGATCCTTACCATCCTCATCAATCCAGCTGACCGAGCTTACTCCTGGTACCAGGTGAGTGTCCCGAGTATGGCATGGATCTGTATACATTTACTCACCAGCACTGAAGAAACACCACTGCATTTGGCCCTGGGCGCATTGCCTGGCGGGTGATAGATGACAGTAGTCTTTCCTCTGTGGTGCTTCTGGCCTGGTAGTGGTGACAGGCAGAATTGATGCTGAATATCATCTTCTCTCTACCTGTCTATTCCAAGCTTCTCATGGGTCCTGTCTTAGACTTTGAGAGCCATAAGAGGCAGAAGCTGAGTGGACCTAGAGACAGCGTAGATCCCAAAAGCAGCCATCTGGGTTATGCTTGCTAGGGAGCAGGACTCAGACCTAGGGGTCTAGGAAGACCGCTCCCACCTGGGCTGCAACATGAGCTGCAGACAGAGGCCTCCCTGTTGCCATTGCAGGTGTGTGCTGCAGAGCTTTCTGAGTGTCTGCCCCGACTTGACTTCTGCATGCACTCCATGGGCTCACTGGAGTGCTTCTCACCCTGACATGGGGCTTGGAGGGGTTTCCTCTTCCGACTTCCTGCTCTTTCTTGGGAATAGTCCACACTGCAAGCACTGTGTCTCAGCTGCCTTGGTGCCTGAGGCTACTTTTCTGGTCTACCTGAGTCAAGCCATCAGACTGGGTCTGACCATCATGCTGTGGGCCTCAGCCTTTGGGTAGGTGGGAAGTACACACTGTCCTGGCTTGGGAAGCTCGATCCTGCCTACCACTTTCAGTGGGTCTTTGTCACCTTCTGAGCCTGCTCACCTAATGCTGTAGTGATTGCTTCCTGGGGCCTCACTGAATCCTGTGTAGTGTACAGGGTTCCTCTCTTCCTGTAGTCCCTTAGAAGTCTCGCCCTGAGCCTGCGGTGATGAGAAGCCCTTTCTCTTGCTCTCTAGGATGCTGGTTTATACCTTGTCTTGCTGTTCCCAGGGACTTCATCTTTGTGGGAAGCCCAGAGGGCAGCAGGCAGTTTCCTGCCTGTGTGTGTACACTTGCTCCAAAGCATGGATGGCTAGAAGGTTGCTCTCATGAGTCCAGTCAGTCCTGTTTGGTATTCATGACAGAACGACTTTGCTGTCTCCCTTGAAGTGCACAGTGGTTTTCTAGAAAGCAGACAAGGATGTGTGTGTGTGTGTGTGTGTGTGTGTGTGCAGATCTCCCTTACATGGGTTTCATGTAGTGTAATGGAGTTCTCTAAAGGAACAGCACCTATAGAACGGATATGTATATAAAGAGTTTATTGGATTGGCTATATGATAGATTCTGAGTAGACTAATAATGATTGTCATTGAAAGCCTGCAGGATTGCTGGAGAGCTACTAGTCTTTAGTTCACATTTGGAAGCCAGAAGAAGTTGACTTCTGACATGAGGGAAGGAACACAGCAACAGTAGCAGCAGCAACAGGATAGATGAACTTGCCAGTGAGAGTGGAAACAGATATGTAAAAGACAAGCCTTGTTCTTCCAGCTCTTTTTATCAAGACTACCACTGGGAGGTGCTGCCTACATTTAGGGTGGGTCTTCCCACTTTAGATAACCTGATCAAGAAGATCCCTCATGGGTATTTCTTGCCGCTTGCCTGTTAGTTGATTACAGATTAAGTCAAGTTGACAACTAAGAGTCACCATCACATGTGGCATTTTGAATGCAGGTCTTATAAACCTAAAGCCTAATTCTTTCTCCTGTCTATGATCGGTGAGCAAAGTGCCATAAGGAGAAAGAGGCTGCTTCATTCTAGAAGGATATAAGAAGGTACTGGGAGGAGAGGGAGGAAGCTGGTCTGTCTTCAAAAAGTCGGGAGGAGCAGAGATTGTCTATACATTTATATGCATTACTGCCCTGCCTGCCCTGCCCCAGGCTGTGCATGATTCTCAATGATGAGCAGGGTCAGTTAGCATGGCTAAGTGCCTGGCCTCTCACTTTGAGATCAGCCCGTGGCTTACAGCATTACAGGTGGGTCAACCTGACATTTCCCCGTTCTGTGATTTCTGTCAGTCCATCCAGTGTCTATTAAGGACAATGTTGCTTTTGGTAGAAGAGACTCTCATGTCCTTTTAGTAGGTGACACTCTGTTTTGGCAAGGATGGGGCCTTTGCGTGCAGGGTTTAGAGCAGGTATTTCCCTCTAGCTGGCATTTGAGAATATGGTTGTGTTTTTATTTTATTTATCAATAGCTGTTTTTTGGACATAGCAACTGATTCTGTTTTTCCATTTTATAAAGATCATGTCAAGGGTTTTCTTGTTTGGGCTTTAGTAAATGGTTGTAAAAAGGAAAAGTGAGGGCTGGGGATATAGCTAGGTTGGTAGGATGCTTGCCTAGCATGCATAAGGCTCTAGGTTTGCTCTCTGCACTGCACAAAACTAGATGTGGTGACACATGCCTGTAATCTTAGTGCTCAGAACATAGAGGTAGGAAAATCAGAAGTTCAAGGTCACAAGACCATCCTCTGCTATACGTAGTGAATCTGAGGTCAGCCTGGATAATATGAGACTGTGTCTCAAGAAATGGGAGTCGATTTGAAGAAAGCCACATTGATGTTGACACTTGCTGGTTAGCAGGTCCGTGGAGCAGCAGGGGTCTCAGAGACTGTGCCAGTGAAGAGCATTTGGGATGCTGGTGTAGGGTATCTCCTACCTTGCAAAAGCTGTGGAACTCAGGATTTTGGAGTTGATGACTCTGAGGCTAAAGTAGTGAGGCAGAACCAGGACATCGGCCTAGGCTACCCACTCGTCTCTGCTCCACCTGCAATGCACCTGTCTTCTTCCCGTGTCTGCAGCACCAGCGAGCCCACGATGACCCAGTGGCTCTAAAGTACACCTTCCATGAGGTGATCACAGCTGGCCCTGATGCATCCTCAAAGCTTCGTGCCCTCCAGAACCGTTGCCTGGTCCCTGGCTGGTATGCCACTCATATTGAACGCTGGCTCAGCGCCTTCCATGCCAACCAGGTAGCTATCTGCCCTGCCTCTTGCAAAAAGGAGTGGCTTTAGTTTAAGGGGACCTGGACAGCTCTGTGGGGGGCTAGGAAGGAGGAGGAACCAGGGTGTGGTGGTAGAGTGTTGGCAGGGTTAGATCAAAGGAGGTCTTTTAGAGAAGCCTTGAAGACTGGAGCAGAACAGTGGGTTGGAGGCTGCAATTAGTGCACTGCAAGGGTGCCAGCTTTGCTGACAGCTTAAACTCTGAGAAAGAACAAGGTGGGGAGCTGGCAGTGAGCAGTGGGTGAGCAGGGATATCTTTGTAGAGGATATCAGGAGTAGGGGGTGCTTTCTGGATGCTCAGGGCCCCGTGTTGGCAGCCAGGTCTTTCCTGCTGCAGTGGGCATGGACAGTTTGCCACTAGGATGAAAGCAAGTCCAGATAGCCTTTCTTCCTTCCCTTGTCTTCAGATCCTGGTTTTGGATGGCAAACTGCTGCGAACAGAACCTGCCAAAGTGATGGATACAGTGCAGAAATTCCTTGGGGTGACCAGCACCGTTGACTACCATAAAACCTTGGCGTAAGTGTTGCCTTGGTCTTTGCATGGAGGCAGTTTCCCTGGCCCAGAACCCTGGCTAAGGAAACAAAGGCTTGAATGACTGGAGGATACCTAGGGTTGACTCAAGTTAATAAGGAAACATGCCGCTCTTCCCTGATGGTGACTCTTTAGCAGAAAAACAAATGTTAAGATGCCTAGGTCATACCAGCAACGCTTTGGCCTTAGGAAAAGGGAGCGATGGATCTCCTCTGCTCAGCTCACCTTGGAGGATTCTCTTCCGTGCAGTCTCTCTTGTCTAAGTGATGTAGCTACCACAGTAAGCATCAGCCTGGGTTGCAGGGACTTGGGACTGGGGAGGCTGCCTTCCAGTGCCATGTCCCATACAGGTGGCATGTTCAATCCCAGGAGGAGTCCCAAGAGTAGGAGGAATAAATTTACCCTCATCAGCTGCTTTCCTGGGGTATTTCCTCCTCACTGTCAAGGGTATTGAGATGGAACAGAGTTGGCACCCCCTGTGGAGGCAGAAGACTACAACACTTGTGAGTGTAGGCTGCCTCATCACTGATACTTGGTTAGGGCCAAATAGGACCATTTTGTTTTGTTTTCTTTATCTTTGAGTTCTATGACTTGACAAGTCCTCTGGGTTTTGGACCTTCCATTTGTCCCTCTGGGGATGGAGATGAGGAGGGTAACTCCTGCCTCCTAAAATTGCTGGATTGAATGACAAAGTATGTGTGATACTCTGGGCTCCATGCTTAGACTGTAGCATGTTTTTTTATGTGCTTACTACCATCTTGAAATTTGAGGGTTGAAGAAATCTTGGGTTCACCAGGCTGTGTTGACACATGCCTTTAATCCCAGCATTCAGGAGGCAAAAGCAGGCAGATCTCAGTGAGTTCCAGGCCAGCCTGGTCTACAGAGCGAGTTCCAGGACAGGCTCCAAAGCTACACAGAGAAAGGCTGTCCCAAAAAAACCAAGAGTGAAGGAGGAAAAGAGGAAGAGAGAGAGAGAGAGAGAGAGAGAGAGAGAGAGAGAGAGAGAGAGAGAGAGAGAGAGAGAAAACACCCATTCTATACCATTAGGGATTGCTCAAAATGTCTCTCAGGACTCTGTGGGACTGGAAAGATTCCACAGGGATTATAGGAGGAACTGAAACTCCTCAGCCTGGACTACAGCGACTTAGAACATTGAGGTGCCTTTTTTGGGAGAAAAGGCAACACTTGGCTACAGATGGCAAGTGTCAGCCTGCATATTCACACTGTGTGAATAGACACTAGGACAAGGACATGGCCCTGAGGAGGGAGGCAAGACCACTCACCCATGGGCTTCCAACCTCTTCAGGTTTGACCCAAAGAAAGGATTTTGGTGCCAACTGCTTGAAGGAGGAAAAACCAAGTGTCTGGGCAAAAGCAAGGGACGGAAGTATCCAGAGATGGACTTGGATGTAAGTGGGGGCTATAGTCCCATGGCAGTGGGCTGAGTGGGAAGGGTCCCTCTTGGAGGAAGCCTTTAAACCTCTATTCTTGACTATGGCATTGGCCTTGGGACCTCTTGCCCAGTAGTCATTTTCTAGAGAAGGAAATAGGGGTTGGGCCCTGGAGGTCAGCATTACTTTTGTCAAGTATGTGTTTATTATCTTTTAGCAGGGTTAGCACTGTGGGTTCCATGGATAGAGCAGATGCTGTGCATGGCTTCCACACAATACGAAGCAGAGTCCAAGGCAGGAGCACTGACACAGAGGGTCGTTGCAGGACAGAGGGCGTAGAGTTAGGGGGTCATCCCCAGGGTTTGGCCCTGTGAAAGGAGAAGCAGGCTACTCTGTAGGGGGAACATTGCATGAAATCACATTCGGGGAAGGCCATAGGTTGTATCTTGTCTTGTTTTCTTCTTCTTGTGATTTTGATAAATGCTTTCTTCTCTCTCTCATGGGTTTGACCTTGGGCACTGTTGGTTTGGTGCTCCACCATGAGCATTTTCTCCGGAGGCTTCTTTTTGGAAGAGGATTGGGATAAGACAGAGTGTGATGTTATGGAGAGGCTCATACTCATGTTGACATGTCACTTCTGACCTGAGCTTTCTTCCCACTGCAGTCCCGAGCCTTCCTAAAGGATTACTATCGGGACCACAACATCGAGCTCTCTAAGCTGCTGTATAAGATGGGCCAGACACTGCCCACCTGGCTGCGGGAGGACCTCCAGAACACCAGGTAGCCTCGGCCACCACAGCCAGACAGAACGCTTGTGTTAGCAGGGATGTCCTGCCTCACACTGAGCCAGACTGACCTGCCAAGAAGGGTGCTGGGCCCGGCCAGCCTAAAGCAACGAGCAATACTCTGCTAAGGCCCATTGGGGCCTGAAGTCCAGGCAGGTCTGCAAGCGCCTCAGAGCATCCACTGCTGGATGTGTGGCCTATGGAACCTCTCTGGCACCAGAGGTCCATTCCGTTCGCAGCTTCGCTGCCTGGGGAGACCGCTTGTGTTGGTGGAAGGTCATTCCCTGGTAGGGGGAGTCCTGGAGACGCCCTCCGTCCCCTCATTGTGTTCTACCACTCCTGCCCTTTCCTTTGTTACACGCCCCCTGCTCCAGCAGGGTGCCCCTCAGTATTAGCTGTCATATTTCCCTGTCCTCCAGACAGTAAGGGAGAAGAGCGCAGCTGGGTCTTTCGCCCAACTAGGGAGAAAGACTGGGCATGTCCTTGAGGGTTTCGAGCGAGGCTCTGCCAGGGTTTAGCTGGGCACCCAGATGCACTCATTGGTTGGATGTGAGGGTGGCCATCTTGAGAGGACATACGGCCTCTATATGTGGGTTAATATTATCACATCTCATCTTCCCTTTAGGGGAGAGTCTCTCTGGCCCCTATTGTGTCCACCTATTGCTCATGGTCTCTTGTAGGCCCTGGGCCACTGCCATGCCACTGGGCCTAGAGACATGGGCCTTAGCCCTGTTCTGTTAACCTGGGTGGGACTGTGGTGTTTCCTGTGGTAAAGGCTGAGGCGAGTCAGGAGTCTGCCAGTGTCCATGCTTTGTGTACATACATCGTTTTACAGCCACTGCCTCGGCCCAGCAGACATGGCAGAGTTAGCAAGACTGCTGTCCACTGCTTTGCCCAGCAACCTGTGGCCGAGGGTCCCTGAGACCCCCCCTTAACCTCCCAAATACTAAGAAGCTAAAGTATTTTAATATTTTGTGTTTTTATTTCTTGGTGCCAGAGTTTATACCCTGGGTGCTGGGGTCGCACTGTGTTTTATATATATATATATATATATAATGTGTATATATATATTATATTTTTTTTGGTTGGGTTTGTTTTTAATTCAGTCATACACAATGGTGGCAAGCCCTAGCCTCAAAGGGTGTCATATCTTAATGCTAGAGAATGAGTTGGAAGGGAAGATGAGTGTTTATGTAAGAGTCTAGGCCTCAGGGAGATGGCTTGAAGGGTCCCTCTTCCCTCTCCCACAGAGGGAGCAGAGATGTTAAGCTGGAAAGGAAGACCAACTCGCTCCAGGAAGTCTGGGTTTACAAGCCTAGTGGCCCTGGGGTGTTTGGGCCATAGGGAAGAGCTGGGCTGGGGGGGGGAGGGCTGGGGCCCTGAGCTGCCCTCCCCCTCACATGGTGCTAGGCTGGGGCTGCCTTGGAGTGGGATGCCCACAGGGACCCACAGAAGTGTCTCCAGTCTCTGCAGGCACAGGGTCTCTGGGTGTTTTCTGCTTGGGTTGTGTTCCTGTCCCCTTTTAACAATGTGAAGTGACTGAGGTTGGGTTACCTTTCCCTGCCCCTCCTCAACTGCCAATTCAGTGTCCACCAGGCTTCTAGGACATACTGGACTTGGAAGGGTTCCAAGACAGACACAAAGTAGGTTCAGGAATGGGAGGTGGCCTTGGTCAATGTCACAGAGCTGTTGGAAGCAGTACCGAGAACTAAATTCAGGCGACTGCTTCTGAGCCAAGTGCTCTTCTGGTACCATACTGCCTCCGAGCCCACCCTCGGGTCCTCCTGTGTTCCAGGTTCCTGTCTTTCCCTCAGTCACAGCTGTGGTCATTCCAGGACATGGGGACAAACCACTCTTTCCCAGCCAGGTGCCTTTGAGCCTTCCCCTTCCAAGACCTGCACACCACTTTTCCTGCTGTATTCTCTGCTTCCAGCATTCATCCTCCTGGTGATTGTCTTGATTCTGAGATAGTCTCTCCTTGAGTTCTCCACTGTGGTGGAGAGTGTTGGATGCTCAGGGGAACCTGCAGGCATGGTTTAGGTGTGCAGAGCCCGTGTATCCTGGTCACTACACAATACCCGAGGACAGGGTTAGATATGCTCAAAGACCCTGCCAGCAAGCTGGAACCAGACTTGGAGTCAGGTCAGTATGTGCCCTTAGCCTCACTTCCCACTTGTCAGCAAGGATGGCTCCTATATTCGGAAAGTTACTCTCTGTATGAGACTCTGTGAGAGCTGAGGTAGGATGGTTGGAGAGGCCCCTGTGTAGCCTGCAGCTCTGTTAGTCTCTGCCTCTGGCCTCAGGTGGAAGCAGGCAGGTTGGAGAGCCTGGCAGACAGAGGAGCTACTGTCTATTTCCTTCTAAGACCCCAGAGACTGTTCTAAGTCTGTAGGTTATTGCTGCTACTGTGTCCCCTCTTGCTACTGGACCCAGAGTCTTCCCCAGCTTGCAGATATTGGGTCTTGGAAAATAGAGAAGTTTGTTCTAGGATCTCTCAACTAGAGTGTCCACTGATTGACTGGAAGCATTTGGGGAAAAAAAAAAAAAGTTTGAGGGAACTCGAGTCAGTCGTTCAGGACATCCCCTGTCCCTTCTGTGCTCTCTACCAGCAGCCTTTGCCTTATGGGTACAGATCACCTGCAACTGCCTCAGTCATTCCAGGTTCTAGAGCTTTCTCTGGGGCAGGCACCTCCGAGAGCATGAAGTTAGAATGGCCCCTTCCACACCCTGGCATATGTGTAAGCAGTGGGTGCTGATTTCCAGTGGAGGAAACTGCTGGCCCCTCCCACCCCGGAGCCCCACAGCTGTGTCAGAGGGCACAGCAAGCTCAGAACCGTCTCAGCCAGTCTTGGGTGGTGAGTGCCAGCCACCTTCGTCTGGACTGAAGGAGGTTAGCATCCGCCAGTTTGTTTTCTTTTCTCTGTATGTGTATGTGTCTTCAAAGTGAGTTGCAGGTACAGGAGACTGTTATCGATAGTGTTGCGCTGAGGGGTAAGGACCTTCTGCCAGACCAGCCAGTGCCACAGCCGAGACTGTAGTCCCAACCCACCACAATCTGTCTGTACCTAAAGCACCCCCAATCTCACTGCTCAGCAGTTAATACCTGGTTTTAGTATTAGGTCCAGTCAGGGCAAGAACATTGTATTTTATTAAAAAAAAAAAGTTTCTTAGAATGCTAAAAAGTTTTCCCTCTGCCCATCTGATTTTTTTAAAAAATGTTTGGTTTTTGTTTGAGACAAGGTCTCATTGTGTAGTCTTGGCTAGCCTGGAATTTGCTATGTACACCAGGCTAGCCCTGGAGCTCATAGAGATCCACTTGACTCTCAAGAGCTGAGATTAAATGTGTGCACTTACCAGGTCCAGTCCAAAATGGTATTTTGTTTGTTTGTCTGTTTTGAGACAGGGTCTCACCATGTAACTCTGGCTGTCTTAGAAATTGCTATGTGATCCAGCCTGGCTTTGAATTCAGAGATCCACCTGCCTCTGCCTCCCAGGTGCTGGAATTAAAGGTGTGGGATTTAAGGCCAGAGGGTCTGTTGTCATATAGAAGTTCCACATTCCAGATCCAGTTGTTTTCCTCTAGTCTTTAGCCCACATGTTTTCAAGGGTAATGTTGCTTTTTGTGCTAATGTGGCATTTCCCTTGTGCCTAAGGTGCCCTTACCTTCATTACCACCTGTAGCAAGGGCCAAACCATCTTGGAGGAGGGGAAAGGGGTCCCTGAAGAGACAGGGTTACATTGGGAGGGTCTGAGGGCACTGTGGGGTGGGATGGCCTGTGGAACTGCCCCAGGGAGGCCAGGCTGGGCACTGTGATGTCAGAATGAGTGTGTACAGCTTGGAGAAGCCAGGCTGTCCCATACCGGGCGCAGCATCCATGTTTCTCCATCTCTTTCTTTCTCTGCTCTTGTTTTGACTTTGTCCTTGCTTCTGTTCTGTGGTTCTGGGGTCTCCACTTTCGAGATGGTCCGTGTGCACTGGAGCAGGAGTAAGACCTCAGATTATGGCAGGAAGGGCTATGGGGAAAATGCCTCCTCTAACTGAGGTGTGAGAAGAGCACGGGGTACAGTGGGTGGCCATGTGGCAGTCTTCCTCCCACGCCCCAGCTTCCCCTTCCTTAAAATGAGGAGATAGAGGCTACAGCAGGGGTTTCCGCATGTCCATGCAAGAACCAACTCTACTGTGTGTGAAATGAGGTTAGAAGTTTGCCCCTCACCCCAACCTCCTGGCCTTCCATGCAGTGCTGGGGTCAGGGTTGTCTGGCTCTGGGCTTGATGCGCTTGCCAGCTCTGAGCAGGCTGGGCAATGACTATGTGTGTCAACTGCTGAGGGCCAGCCTGAAGGCCAGGGGAGACTCCCCACAGTGTTTCTGCCTAAGAAGTTCACTTTTCCCTCTTTCCCTGGCCTGGAGGCTACCGGAGGGAAGGGTTTTCTATGACTGAGCTAGCTTTTCTTATGGCAAGAGGGCTCTTTTTGTAATTTGTGCATGAAATTCATGTTATTTCCTGGGGAGAGAAGAGGGCCAACTGAGTGGGGTGGGGTGCGCTTGGGAAACAGGCAGAGGATTTCCTTCCCTGCAGGGGGGTGGGAAGGGTTGCAGAGGGCATGCTACCCAGCTCACCTGAAGAGGGCTCTTGAACCAGCCGTTTTGGGTTGTGTTAAACATGGGAACTTTCCTCCATTAATGTACAATCTTGAACTAACTGCTAATAAAATGGGATTCTGTTTGTACATATTGTTCTTGTTTTTGTGTCTGACCTTTGCCTGCTAGGGAAGGTGGGGATATGGAGGGTTTCATCATGGCCCAAACTTGCTCAGTTTGCATCCTGATTTGGTCAGGACAGAACATTTCCCCTGCATTCTAAGTTGATGCCTTTTCAGATGCTGTAGAGGCCCAACCCAGGGCAGCCATGCAGTGTCTCATCTCCGATAGATGACCAAGAGCCTTTGGGCACAGGGTTGTCAGTACTAGGTGTGCCCACTGTCCCCAGAGGACCCTGCCATTATTTCTTTCATGACTTGGTCACACCATTTTACTTTTTGATTGGTAGTTCCCTTGTCTTTTAGGATGTGAAGTGAGTTGGATTTAGTGGCCTCATGTAGAGAATGTGCCTGGAATACAGATTCCCATGCTCTGACTTTAGAGATTGAGATCCCTCTGGCGGGTATGAACAAGGCATTTTGAGCAAAATTCCAGGGATTCAGGCTCAGATGGAAGGTTTCATAGGTTCCTCACTATCCAAGAAAACCTTAGGGAAAAACGAGTGATTGTCAAGCCACCCCCACCCCCCTTCCAGTTTACTAAGGACATGCCTTGAGAATAGCCTAATAAGGACCAGAGTCTTCCCAGCAGAGACTCTGCCCTGATGTCTGCAAGGCAGGTGTCAAGGCCCAATCCCAGAATCCTCTTGAGAAGTGGGCATTCCAGGTGCCTTGTCCAAACCCACTCACCCAGAAATTCTACAAGTAAGATGAAGCAATGTGTATTCAAGAAACTCCCTGATTCTCAGAATCTTTGGGAATATTGAGTCAAGCTCCCAAGTGTATTCCAAACAACGCCCCCCACCACCTCCACCTCGAAAAAGAGAACAGGTGTTCTGGACACACCTGGGAGGGGAAGGGAGCCCTGGTCTGGGTGAGCACACCAAGCTCCAACCTGTAGAAACTTCTCAGATTGGCAAGTGTAGCATTCGTGGGTCATGAAACACCACTGCCCAGAACTGCTGGAGGCTGTGCTGCCAGGAGCAGACCCAGAAGGTATGGTGCAGATGCCATGCTTGTGCCTGTGAAGACACAGGCTTTCTGGGTCACTTAGCAGGAAGGGGCTAAAGGCAAGTGTGTTCTACTTGGAGCAAGGATGAGGTTGATTTTGTTGCACCTCATCTCATGCTGTCCTGGAATTCTAAGATTCCTTGAAATAGAAAAACCTTGCCCAGCTGTTTGCAGAGTAATCAAGAGTTGTACAAATTATGAGGGGGTGGGAAGAGTTGTACAATACCAACAGCCCAGTGAGTGGAAGTCCATCAGACCCTCTATCCTTGACTATGAGTCATCCCTTCAGAATGCCAGTTAAGTTAACCAAGTGCCCAAATTTCTGGAGGACACAGTTCCTTGCAAGAGCCTTTGGGTAGTTTTCTAGTTTGGGTACTTTTGTTTCGTCAAACACCCTGACCAAAAGCCACTTGGGAGGCAAGGGTTTCTGTCAGACACACTGAGGGAAGCAGGGCAGGAATTAAAGAAGAGATGAATAGAGGAGTGTTCCTCCTGGCTTGCTCAGTCTACTTACATGCCCCAGGGACACTGACCTATTGGCAGCACCGACAGCAGGCTGGGCCCTTCCACATTAAACATCAATCAGGAAAATGTCCCACAGGCTTGCCTAGGGCCAGTCTGGTGGTGGCGGTTTCTCAAATGAGGTTCCTTTCTCACAGGACTCTAGCTTGTCTCCAGTTGACAAGAGAGCTCACTAACCAACACAACTGTCCCCTTGAAAACTTGACACACAGACACATCACTATTAAGTCATAACCTTTCCTTTCTTGTTCCTAAGATGTCATGTTAATATCACTATCACAATATAAAACATTTCAACATTTAAAAGTCTGCAGTCTTTAAAAGTTCATTCTCTTTAAAATACCCAGTCTCAAAGACAAAAAAAAAAAAAAAAAAAAAAAAAGTTTCCCTCTCCTCAGATGACTCTCTCCTCAGATTGACAAGGAACTACCAGCACAGGTAGTGTGTTTCATAAGAGCAAAGTGCCAGGAACAGTCCCCGATAGATGATCCACATGGTGTGACAGTGAAGCACAGGGACACGGAGACCTGAGTTTGATTCTCAGAACCCGTGATTTAAAACAACAAAAGGACCTGGTCATAGTGGCAAATGTTTGCAATTCCAGTGATGGGGAGGCAGACAGGTGGGGCCTGGGGCTTGCAGACCAACCATTCTAGCCTACGTGGCCATTAGGGCTATTGAGAGAGGGTAGTAGCGGTGGAAGAACAAACGACACCGACCGATACTGTGTCTGGTCGTCTATGCATGCATCTGCTACACATTCACACACACGCACACGAACTACCTCAGCCTCCAAGTCTGGGGCAATGTCTTTGTGACCATTTGTGTAATAAGAATGTTAGAGTGTTTCCCCCGGGAATAGAAATGTGTCTCCTACCAAGACAACCACGTTGGCTGCTTCCAAAGGAGGGAGAGGAAACTTGGAAGAGGAGCGTTTTCTAAGGAGACTTTAGCTTCTGCTTAGACCTCACTTGTGGAATCAGAGCTCTTGGGATGGTGTGTTGGGCCCAATGCTGCTCTCCACCTGACCCTAAGGCTTCTTCTAGGAATAGTTCTGCAGGCCCAGGGTACTAGTGGAGGACTTTGCCATGTGTCCTAAACACTTGACAAGAGCCCCTAGGCTAAGAGTCTGATTGTGATGGCCAACAAGTCAGCTCCCGGTGGTGTTGACTCACTCTCACAGGGCATTAGAGCTGTAATCGCCAGCATTGAAAAGACTGATATTGTGTGGCTCCTGATGAGATGCCCTGGGGACCTGGTTTTCCACCTGTGAAACCACCACCATTATAGGTCCCAAGAAGAAACCAGAGATGCGTCCTCATCAAGACAGTTTGCCAAGTAACTATCTGAAAATCTAATAATGACAAGGCTGTGTAATGGCTCACAGACTACCCTAGAAACGAACCTGAACCATTAAATAAGTAGCTGTGAAGGACAATCCTTGAATCGGGACTTTGCACTCTGGGGAATAGTGTTCTCTCAAAGATAAACTCTCTTATTTTGGCTGTTATACTGGTATTTAGGAGTTGGTCAGTGTTAAGAGTACACTCTGAAGCTGGGCGAGGTGACTCCTGCCTGTCACACCTGCACATGGGAGCTGAGGCAAGAGGATTGCCATGAATTTGAGGCCAGCCTGAGCTACATAGTAAGTACACAATGAAATATTTCATATTTAGGAGGAGTAACAGAAGAAAGCAAGCCGAATGTTGGTATGTCTGGGGTACGGCCTAGGATGTGTCCACCAGGTGGCACTCTTGGCTCAGTTTCTGAAGACTGTCATTCACGCCTCACCAGACTTGTTAATGTGAGGCAGCATTACACTAATGCTGATAGGACAATAAACAAGTAGGAAAATAATAAAAGGAACTTCCCGCGTGCCGGTCAGGCACTCTGCTCCTGGGAGCTGCCCTCTCAGTACTTGTAACAAGGCCTTGAAATGTTCTCACCATTCTATTGCAGATCCAAAATCTGAGAGGCTAACTGAAGTCCTTGGTCTCTGAGACGCCTCAGTCCCAAGTCTCCTCTGTGGTCCTGCCTCCTGAGGCCGAGGCTGGGAAACAGCCCTGGCCTTCAGAAAAGCAGTGTGCAATGTCCTTGGGACAGAGTGGAACGATTCTCTGTGATTGGCTCTGTTCCTCCCAAAGCCAGCCACACAGTCCTGGGATGGGCCACCTTAAAGCTATAAATGTTCCGGAGTCTAAAAGAAGACCAACAGAAATATAGCAGGAAGTACTAATATTCGGCCACAGACCCCTGCTTCAGTGCAAGCCACCACTATTGGCTGTGTAGATCTTTCCAGAATTATTTTCACGTGTGAACACCTAAGTAAACACATCCCCCGCTGGTTTGTGTTCTTTGTGTTGTTTCCCGTTCTTTTTCACAGAGCCTCTGGGCACCAGTGCAGGGAGGACAGTCTGCTGCCATTCATGGAGGCAGGTGGGGGGGGGGGCTCCTGTATCAGGTACCCAGAGAGGTCCTGCTCTGCCCACCTTTAGGAGCACGGAGAAGCTGGAGCCTGCCCTACCAAGCCTTCGTCCTCTTTAGGGGTTGCTCACTGATAATGTGAAGAGTAAGCTGCTAGCATAGCCATCAGAACATTCCAGGAGGATTGGTCTGATCTCAGATCTGGCCATGTGGCTTAGGGCAGGTGACTTGTCTCTCCCCATTTGTAAAAATGTGACAGTAACAAGCTGAAATGGTTCTGGGAGGTGTGAGGCTTCTGAACCTGAAGAACTCACTGTAGAAGCCTACTGGGTGGGAAGTTCTTAGTTGTCCAGGCCACACAGCCCCGTCTGAGCCTGAAAGCACACTGCCACTTTTGTCATGAGTGTCCATCCTGCACAGAAACATCACAATTGACTGCTTATCTCAGGACATTTGGGATGGAAGGGTTTGGTGATCTGGGGCAAAATTCAGATAGAACTGCTGACCAGCTAGAAACTGAAAAGGAGCTTGGGAGACTACAGGGAAATGACAGCTAGTGAATGCACCAACACACCAGGGAGCTCAGGTGAAGGGGACAAATTCCCAGAGATGCCCAGAAGCAATGGATCACCCATTAGACAGCACTAGTAAGAGAACCAGAGATCAAAACGCTCCTGGCAAGAGCCAGGCAAGGTGGCACACTCCAGAAACAGGCAGGAAAATTACCAAGAGTTTGAGGCCCACTTGGGCTAGAGAGCAAGACCTTTTCCTTCTTCCCCCAGATCTGTCAACCAACCAGCTGTCCAGTTGATGAAGCGATCAGACAAACATTTGGTGTTAACCAAAAGGTGGAGAAGTGATTGCTTCATTTTCCTTTTAGAGTCTCATGATTGCTGCTGTCCTTGAGCTGTTTTAGGATGACCTTGTCCCTCTGCTCTTCCTGACTCCACCTGGGATTACAGATGTGCCCCATCTCTCATGTCCTGGGATTACAGATGTGCTCCATCTCCTGA